CATGGTGGAAATTGGATGTACCTGCCTAAGATTCTTCATTATATTTTCTGTCAGATCTGCCACAGACAGTCCAATGGCCCAGGAGGTATAGCCTTTCAGTTTGATCACCTCATAGGCACTGTCAACCTCTTTCTTACATAGGCATGTGAACCTCTTTCCACTGCTCCTTATCTGAATCAGCACCTAATTCAAGACGCAGATTTTTCAGAGACACCAGTCACATTCACCCCACTCCATACAGCCACACTAGAGTCTCCGTGCTCTCCAAGGACCCAGCCATGACAGTCAATGCGTGAACTCCCAGCCTCTCCCCCATTAGGTAACAGAACCTCGCTGAATCCAGATTGCATCCACTGCCAATAACACTGTTTTTGGGAAAACCACTGATCTTTCAAGCTACACAGGTAAGGAAATCCACTGGATTAGAAACAACAAGCAGCTTGCCGTTTGGGCTGTACTTTACAACATCAGGAATGATGAATTTAAAGATGTTCACATTACGCTGGACCAAAGTGAGATGGCTTTCCCCTTGATGCTGATGTACTCCCACTGTGATAATAACCAGCTTGGAATTTGCAGTTACGTTGTAGTCTTTGCCAGACACAATTTTTGGTGTTCTAAGGAAAAGGCTGCCATGTTGGAGACCCATCATCTCTCCCTTTAATTTGTCTTCCATGACATCAACAAGTGCAAGTTCATCTGCCAAGTCCTTCATTAAAATACTGATGGCACAGGCCCTGCCAACAGCATCAATCCCAACAACTATAATCTTATTCGGGGTGGGGGGTGGGGAGGGTGTCTGTTTTTCTTTAAGAAGATTCTGAATCAGCTGATCCTTGAGAGTAGCCATACCAGATTTGGATGAAGAAGGAACCGGGAATGCATGTCAGGCGGGTTTAGTGGCGCAAGGCAGGGAAATTCTGACTCGGCAGCTACTCAGCTTCGAGATCACATTTTCTACTCCTATCATGTTTTTTTTCATTATTGCACATTTTCTTCCCCCACTCCCAGCCCACCCCTTGGAACAACGCATCCCTTGTTCCAGATTGTCATACACATAATGCTTAATCATATATTTATTTTTTTCTGTTCTTCCTCTCATTTAATCTAATGCAGTATTCATTATCTCTTTTCTCATTGCCTTCCCAACCCCCCTCCCATGTCTATCTTATTTTATAAAAGAGGTGTTATGCAGTATTTGTCCTTTTGTGATTGAGGTATTTCATTTGGCATAATGTCCTCCAGAATTCCCCATGTTATGTCATGTCATGTTTTACAAGTTCATTGTTTCTCAATATTCCATTGTGTGAATAAATCATAGTTTTTCTATCCACCTATTTGTTGATGGACACCTAGGTTGCTTCCATCTCTTTGCTATTGTGAATAGCACAGCAAAAAAGCATGGGTATGCATAAATCTGTTTGAGTCATGGCTCTAATTTCTTTAGGGTATATTCCCAGCAGTGGAATTACAGAATCAAATGGTATTTCAATTTCCAACTTTTTAAGAAAGTACCAGTCCACCTTCCAGAGTAGCCCTACCATTTTACATTCCCACCAGGAATGAATAAGAGTTTCAATCTCTCCACAGCCTCGCCAGCATTTTCTGTTTGCTGCTCTGTTAAACGTTGCTATTGCTGCTGGGGTGAGATGTCATCATTGTTTTGATTTGCATCTCTCCTAGAGCTAGGGATTTTGAATATTTCTTCACGTATTTGTTTGCCATCTGACTGTCTTCTTTGGTGAAGTGTCCATATCCTGTACTCATTTTGTGACTGGGTTGTCTTTCTTTTTCTTGTTGAGATGTACTTGTCTCATTTCTATTCTCTTGAGTTACACAAGGTCTATTTCTTATCCAACATGATGACTCTATACACACCCATGTTCGATTAAAATATGCCTTTTGAGCCATGTTTTGCCTCTGTAACCCCACCTCTAGCGACTTTTAGTGAAGGATCATGAGGATGGTGCAAGATGAGGCAAGCTTCCGGTCTATTGTTCACAGGGTCTCTATGCATCGTAGCTGTCTTGAAGGTACCTAAAAACTACCATTACTGCTAATAATGACAGTATTATTAAATAATCACAGCAGCTAACCCTTAGAGCACTCACAATTTACCAGGCACTGTGTCAAGCACTTAGTCTAAACTTAGACAAAGTATTTCATCCCTGTGTCACATACAGTTCACGATTTGCAGACACTTCAATGCGATGAACACACTCTGCTGAAATCACTGGTGTGTGCCAATTCTTAATTAAATTATTCTTGAATATATAAATTAATGACTAGTAAATAAATATAAGGAAACAGGGGCAACCTCATGAGAGACTTTTTAAATGCACATCAAAATAATCAGATATCTATTCTTGATTGTTTTTAAATGATACCCAACATGCAGGGAATAAGGACTATCACACATTATTTAAGGCTTTATATTGCATTTTAAAATATAAACCATTTCAAAAATGGACTGACAAAATACACCAAGGGCCTTCAAATCATGAAAAATAATCTATGAGCCCAATAATGGGGAGGTAGGTAGTGAAATTTCAGTACATTGGCAAGAAGGTATAAGATGCTTTGGCATACTGAGAATTGGGAAAACGAAGAAACTATTTTACAAATACACAAATGCAGAAGGAAACATTCCAAAATGTTAATTAACTGTCACTCTTTTAAAGTGATGATATTAGAGGTAATTTCTCTATTTTCCAAATATTAGGCAACAGTGTAGGTTAACTAGAGTGTAGAACTAGAGATAAAGAATGGATTTTCAAAATATAAAACGTACTTGCTGTATTTTGTCTCCTTCCTGAGGTTAGGCTCCCGGAGAACAAGACGCATGTCCAGCCCCTACCCTGCAAGTCCTGCTCCTTCACAGAAAATGCTGTGGACAACAGAAGCCATTTCTGGTTTGCTTTTGCCTTGTTTATATTAAATAATGGCTTCCCTTTGTCACCCTGCCTATACCCCTAACTCTTCATCTCTCTGCTCAAAACTATTCTGGGTACATCATCTTATCCATGCAGATCTTCCCGATCCATCCTGGAGGAAGATCGGAAACTGTGCAACGAAGGGCAAGGCTATTCACAGGGAACACAAAATTGAAGTGTAATCTGATGAATGACTCAAATCTGAATTGTGTGGTATTAAGATCTTAGAATGGGAAGAGGAAAAAGCCTCTGTTCTCCAAAGGAGACATAATGGGACATTTAACAGATTTCTTTCAAAGGGCAAATGAACAAACAAAACTCACCATTTAAGATCCAAATGAAGAAGATAAAGACCAGCTTTTTAAAAATACTACCTTGGAGGAAGCAAACCAGAAGACCTATTTCTCTGCAAATGGATAGCAGATATTATTGTTTTTCAAAACTACCTAGAGTCCTGGGGGCTAGGATCAATAATATTCCCTCTCTCTAAAGAGAGCAGATGGTCAGAGCACAGTATAAATACCTCTGAGCTTTTCCCACTTGGAAAATAGGAAGAGACAGCTGAAAAGCTTACAAATTTTTCCCAAGAAATGATGTAACAAGTACTATGAGACCTGCGTTTGTATGGAGCTACTGGCTAAGTTCAAGATAATTCCAACCAAGAAGATTCCAGGAAACCTCAAGGACAAAAAAAAACCCTACTGCGCTTCAGAGGAATAGCCCCAGTATCCTGAAACAACACTAACACATTCACAAAGCAAGGTTCTTCCTGGAAGGAAAAGTGAGAGGCTCAGGAGAGGAAAAGAATGCTTATCCTTACTGCCACAACAGAAGGTCCTCCTACTGCACAATATGGGTCAAGAAAAGAAAAAAATAACACTTAACAGAGACAGCCAGACTTCATCAGGGTGAACAAGGCTCCCAGCTGTGTTCCTCAAGGTGGGATAGAAAGGAATGGGAGGCTCACACACAGTGATTCTACAAGGCATGTGAACCGCCAGGTCTTCAGTGACCACATTAAGAGGTCTTTTCAAGCTTTCAAATGTCACCAACTGAAAATTTCCACAGACGGGAAGGTGGACTTTTGGCTGGATGGAACACCAAACTGTTAATTCTCTGTCTTGTCCTCTGAACATAGCAGCAGAGTGCAGGAGTTCCTGGGTATTCATGGGAAGGAATATACATATGTGATCAAATGCAAAAGTCAAGATGCCGTCATATATGGGGGGAGGGAGGGAGTACACAAAATTCAGGTCACAAAGGATTAATGTTGCTATGTGCTGTCAAGTTGGAAGTGACTCACAGTTCACCCTCTGTGGGTCAGAGGCATTAAACTGCACAGAAGGAAACTGCCTGTCTTTCTGTGATGCAGCTAGTGTAATCGAACTGCATGGTTTTGGGCTGGCAATTCCTTATCCCTAGACAGAGCTCCATTAAAGGATTAATATAAGAAGAAAATAAAGAATTTGCTTGTTGCTGTTATGTGCTGTCGAGTTGCCTGTGACTCATTGCAACCCTATGTACAACAGCTCAGAACCCTGCTCTATCCTGAGCCAACGTTATCATCTCTGACAAACCAATTCCCACTATCCCAGTCACTGAGTCAATTCAACTCCTTGAGGGCCTTCCTCTCCTGCACTGTTCCTCCAACCTCCCAAGCATGATGTCCCTCTCCAAGGACTGGTCCCTCCTTGCAACACGTCCAGAGTATATCAGAATTTCAGCGTTAATATATCCATTAAGGTTCACCTCTAGCACCCATGTTATCAGGATGATTTGGCAGCTCTCTGCCACCCAGGAGACCACAGCACTCACACAGATATGCCACCTCCAGCACGGATCTCACATCTTGACTTGAAGTTAAAAGTATCACAATATATTAAAAGTGCCCAAGGCACGATCCAAAACCAGTGCCCACACATCCTGACCTAGCTGGACCCTCAAAACTCCACCCATAGCAAGGAAGATATCACCAAGAGACAGCCCCTTGATGTCCAAGATGCAGCCTTGAGAATTGTTTCGCTGTTAATTTTCTGTAATTAGTATATAACAAGATTTTCTTCTTACCTCCATTTGTTCTACTGACTCAAGTCTATCATTTCCGTGGAAATTCATACAGGAGAGATCAAAAATGGTTTTCTTCAGGTGCTGGTTGTCTGTATAGAGCTCCTTCACTAGCTGTATAAGGTCAATGACCTAGGAAAGAAGAGTACAAAGAACTGGCTACCCAGTAGCAATGTCAGTTTCCCAGGACCGTGACCCAACACAGAGAAGTTTCCTCTGAGCACGCATCAGCATCACAATTACGTAGCCTTTAGGAGAATCAGGGAGCTGATTCCAACCTCAGATCCCACTTGCAGGGAGGGGTACAGGAAAGCAGCTCTGTCCGCAGTCTAATGAAGCATATCTGTATTCCCAGAGTCACCACTTGGGGTAAAGATACGAACAAAATGCCAAACCTAAGTTTCAGTTTTTCCTCAACAGTAAAATAGGTTACTACGAGAATGGAATATCAACAGGAGTCACAGTAACAGTGGACAGGAATCCTTGGCACAGTTTAAACCCTCAATCAAGGACACCTAGTGTTATCTAGGTCTTGTCTCCCATCCCAACCCCTATTCAAAGCAGAATTAACCCCTCTCCTGATAACTCTGTATCTTATTCATCCACCCACCTATTATAACAACCTTTGCACTCCACATAAAGATGACTTGTTTACATGTCTATGTCTTCTGCTAGAATGAAAATATCCCAGCATGGACTCTCAGTCACACTGGTATGATCATCTTATTATACATCACCCAGTATCATAGGAGAACACACTTCTTATTATCAGTGGCTCTTGGAACCCTGAAACACTAGAGACCACACTAATCAACACGCTGTAAAACATAAAGGGGTTGGGTTTGTTTGTTGTTTGGGGGTTTCCTGGTTAAATCACTGATCACAATCTACCGGTTTTTTTTTTATTCCTTCAAAAATCCTCTATTAACTTTATGTTCCAGGTACTTTGAAATAAAAAATAAATATAACGCAATCATTAACGTTAAGACAGATGTTCACAGCCTATATCTGAGAGACAGAGGAGAGAACCCAGATCAGTGGAAGGACATAAGGAACTGGGGAAGCACAATGGGTAAGTGCCAGCTGCTAAGTGAAAGGCTGGTGGCTCAAACCCACCCAGCACTTCTGGAGGAGAAAGACCCAGCAATCTGTACCCCAGAAGCATTACAGCCTAGAACACCTGCTGGGGCTGTCACACGGGTCACCAGGAGTTAGAATCAACTTGAAACCATCGAAGGCTGGCACAGTCAGCACAGCCCCACCTGAGGAACATGAGTATGGGTGAACGAGCTGAGGGAACGCTAACCCTCTGTGTGGAGGAGCCAGGGCGCACCTCCTAGAGAAGAGCTGTGTTCTCAAGTCAGAGAAGGACCGTACTTAACTTGGGGGAAGGCCCTTCAGAAATGCTAAGGAAAAAAAGGTCTCAGAGCTGGTGATCTGGAACTGACTCATAGCCGACCCTCCACTGGATTTTTGGAGGATGTGAATCACACAGAAGGAGACTGTCCCTCTCTCCCCCACACAGTCCCTGGTGGATTCAAACCACTGGAGTGATGATTCCTTTAGAGGGTCAGCAGGACAGCTCCTTAGAGGCCACACCACCAGAGATGTAAACTTCCCCAGAAATGTAAACAGCAGGGGGGAAAGAAAGGCAGAGAAAAAGCAGAAAGGAGAGAAAAGATCTTTTAAAATTTTATACTCCTGACAAACTCAGGAGACAACAACCAACCAATGAAATGCTGAAAGTTAATAGGTTGATACCTTTTTCTTTAGGTCTTCTTGAGAAAACTGGTCCACTTGTAGCCGTTTGTGTTCTTCAAGGCAAATACTCAAATAAGATGTTTGATCACTATAAAATGAAAACGTTTCTTCTGCTCAAAATAAAGGGTGGGGTGGGGGGGACAGATCAGAAATAGTTACTTCCATGGCCAATCACAGTGCAATCCATTTAAAGTATGCAGAATTGGGTTGGGGGAACATTAGAGAGGAGAATAAATAAATACACACAGGGACTTTAAAGCACCACTTTTGGAGCAAAACTAATTTTCCTTCGATTTCTACAGGCTGATATGTCAATGTATAGTTCATCTTAGGCTATAGGCTTTCACTGTGGCTAATTCTGAATTATAATTTGCATATGAAGTGTTGTGCCTGGAGACCATTCTGAGTGGCATGAGCAAATGGCGATTTCAGTTTAAATGAAGGAGTGATTCTGTTTAGGTGAGAATACCAGAAAATTAGATGTGACCCACAAAGACAGAACTCAAGGGAAATAAAAGTGCCTGATGTGGTTTTTTTTAAAAGGCTCAAGAGCCCACATGAGTAGCAAACACACCAAGCGCAAAAACTGCCTGCTGGATTTAAGATCAGAGAATCTTTGGTCACCAATCTAAGGGCCTAGCTCTTTTGCAACAAAGCTCACATTCTAATAAGAAACAAACAAACAAAAAAGCGAGCAAAGAAGTGGAGAAGAATATTTATTGAGAAAGGTATATTCACAAACATGATTTCATTGAACAGGTGCTGGTATGAGCTGATACATCAGACACGCCATGCATTATAGTGGAAACAGCTAGACTACAAAGAGACTCTGTGCAACTTACTGTGGGGCCCAAGGCAAATGAATCTTTAGGAGCTCTGGTGGCTTGGTGGGAAGAAGCTGCACTGCCAACCCCAAGGCACACAGTTTGAACCCACCAGCTGCTCGTTGGGAAGAAGATGGGCAATCTCTTCCTCTGTGATTTACTAACTCTGAAAACCCTCTGAGGGTCACTATGAGTCGGCCCAACTTGATGATACATAATAATAACTTTGAGCCTTAGCTCTTCCTTTGTAAGGAGGGGTTCTATCTATCAAACAAAATTATTATAAGCATAAGAGGAAGAATGTTAAGGGCCTACCACTGGGTTTTTTCATACTATAGGTGCTTAAAAAACCTGCCAAACCAACCACTGCTATTATTGATATTCATTCTACGTGCCAGGCATCAGGCTAGGGGTCTAGAAAGGAATAATGCACCAACCCAGACTTTAAGGGGTTCATATATAGCAAGGCAAACTACCAGATACTGGTGTAATAAGTACCACGATGCAAGTACCAGAGACTCTCACCTTGTTGTGTTGTTAAGGGGCCACTGAGTCTAGTATGACTCATAGCAAACCTATGAACAGCAGATCTGAACCTTGCCCTTTCCCATGCCTGCCTCACAATCTCTGACACACTTGAGCCCATTGCTGCAGTCACTGTGTCAATCCACCTGGTTGAAGTCTTCCTTTCCTCTGCCAGCCACCCCTCCACTTTTCCAGGCATGATGTCTCACTGCAAAGAACAGCCTGTCCTAGCAATCTGTACTCTTCTCTAAACAATTTGCTCATGATCACAACAATGTTAAGCACAACATTAAGCATGAAACAGCAATCTCACTCATCCTGTCTCTGAAGCCCTGGCTCTTTGCAGTGGATGCTATGGTAGGCACAGCCCAAATGCTTTGGGCAGTAAGGACTATTTACCAGAGGAAACGAGATTCAAGGTTATTTAAAGCTAGAAGCAATGAAATAGAATAGGAAGTTAGAATTCTGCAGTAGACCTTCCACAGAATAAACACAATTTACTGGGCTGTTCTACTGTAAATGCCAAAGCCAAATGGCTACAGAATAAGAGAGCCAACATCAAAACAGCCACAGGTGAAAGGATCCCTTGAGAAAATCGGGTAGTAGTCTCATCTCCTAATGAAGTTTGAGGGCTCTCTTAAAGTTCATCCAAGATCTTCCTAGTGGCAGACCCAAAGGGAAGTAACACAAAAGAGTATTTACCTTCTCGCATGCGAATTGCATTGATTTGCTCCTCTAAGGTCTTCTGCAAATTCCGATACGCGAGCACATCCTGCTCCAGTTGTTTCCGCAGGGCAAAAATGGAGTTGAGCTCAGCCTGCAGGTTGTTGATACTTGGTAAAATAAGACATAAGAAGCTTTAAAAAAGACTCATTCGTGCTTTAAGATACAAAGCCCCCCCCCCATTTTTTTTTTTATTTTTAATTTAATGTTATTTCTGTTTGGGTTGGGTTGGGTGTTTTTTTTTTGTTGTTGTTCTATGATTTTTTTCCCTTCTGGTTATAAAAGTAAGTAGATGTTTATTAAAGAAAATTTTAAAAATAGGCATATGAAGAAAACAAAATTTATGACTCCACTATCAAATACCATGTGGTAGATAGCATTTTTCCCGGTACTTTTCTTGTGATAATTTTTACAAGGTTGAAATAGTAACAGACACACAATACTGACTTTCACATTCATTTAAACATAGTTTTCTACATGTTTAAACTTCTTTACAAACATCATTGGTAATGATTATAATATTTTAAATCTGGTGGCTGTCCCATCATTTCCTTTAACTTATCCATTTTTAATGGATATTTAAGACATTTCCTACTTTCTGCTAGATCTGTAACTAGGGGGAAAGACTTAATTCTTTACAGTGCGTCTTTGGAATAACATCTTAAGAGGACTTAAGCATAGAAAAGGAGAAGGTTCTTTAGTGCTTTCTGCCACCTAGAATCCAGAGTTCAAAAGAGAGGGATTTGGAAAAGTCTTTTATTACTCATAAAAGAGGTAGTACTGAGGATGAGGATGAAGACCACAAAAAGGAAGGAGAGTGAGACAACAGGTGGGGAAGAAGAATTCCATTAGGGGCCAACAGAGCTCTACAGTAGTGGGTCACCACTCACAAATGCATAGTATGGATGGGTTTCTAACTCGGGAGAGGAGTTCTCGCAGTGATGTTGAGTTCCCCCTCTGATCTTCACAGTGCTGGGCTGCATGGAGAGCTTGCATAGAACCACAAGGCCAGAACCCAGAAGGGGCCATGAAAATGCACATCTACCAGGATCTGAATTAATCCTGATCAGTGCGGTCCAACAGGTGATGGGAACGTTCTCTATCTGTGCTAATACAGTAGTAGCCACTGGCCACATGCAGCTAGCTGACCTGAACGTCCACGTTTACTAAATGGAACTTAATTTTTTTTTTCAATTTAATAATTCATAAACACTTTGTTTTGTAACACTAACTACAGCTGATTAATGTAACTGATTAATTGTAATGTCTGACCAACTCTGTATTGTACGTATACTGCCTTTCCCTTCAACTTAAATAGTGACTATTATCTATTATAAATTTGTATTACCCTTTTCTTTGCTTCGCATCCTTAGTGATCATCCAAGAATAATGCTGTGTGTAAACTTGTTCTTTGCTTTTGACAATAGTGGCCTTATACAATATTTGCCCTTTCGTGCCTAGCTTGTGTCACTCAGCATAATTTCCTCTAGTAAATTTCATTTAAATAGGCACATGTAGCTAGTGGCTACCTTATTAGACAATGCAGACCTATGAGGAGGGTTGTGTACTTCTATTGATATGCAACTAACAGAGATCTGAACCAATTAAACCCAGTTCTCAGAGGAGCAATGGAGACCCCATCTGTTCTCTGAGCAACATAAATAATGTTTCATTCTAAATCTCAGTGCCCAAAGCCTTATTTGACATTCAGGTTATTTTCCTAAGAAGGATTCCCAGAAGTGCAATTGCCAGTCAAAAGGTACAATCATTTAAAAAACTACTGAAACATCTTAACAGATCAGGAAAAAAAGCTTCTTTTTATAGACACTAAAATGCATACCATTCTCTATCCAGTGCCTAACTCTAGGTTTTCTAAGAGCCCATTAAAACCTAAGGAACTGTGGTGGCCTGGTGATAAGAAGGTGCACTGACAACCCAAAGTCACATGGTTTGAATCCACCAGCTGCTCCATGAGAGAAAGATGGTCTACCTCTTCCCACGTGATTTATTGCTGAATCCATTCCAAATCAATGGCACATAACAAAAAACATCAACACCTTGAATTAACTTGTAAAAACTTACTAATATGTGGATTTTTATAGATAAAAGTCCAGAGGCTTTCTGTACCTAGATGCTACAATCTGGACAAACGGAAAAAATTACGCTGAATGAAATAAATCAGAGGGGGGAAAAAAGGCCAAGTATTCTACAATCCCATTGTATAATCTAGAAAGGAAAAATATCTAGATTGGATTAATGCTCAGAGACAAAAGTTTATTAGTGTTACAGGGAGGGAAGGAATGGGAGTCGTCATGAATTTGGCACAATGAGAGTGGCACTGAATTCCAGTTTGGGATGACAGAGAACCTTCAGAAATGAACAATGATGACAGACACAAAATATAGTAAATGTAATGAGTATCACTTGGAAAACGCTCTGCACGTGCGCGCTGACTGCAATGCTCGGGCCGCGCTGTGTGCCCCACGCCGCTGCGCCCTCCCCGTCGCTCCGGCTGCTGCCACAGCCCGCGCCTCGGCTGGACGCCCGCCCCCGCCCGGGCAGCTCGCCGCCCATGCGCGCTCAGCGTGGGAGACCGGCCTTGTTCCTGCGGCTGCGGGGCGCTGCACACCGAAGGACACAAAGCTTTTATTGAATTCCTGAGTGATGAAATTGAAGAAGATCAAGAGACATAAGTCCCTCGGCAGGATGTCTGGAGGTTCGGAGGTAGAAGTGAAAGGGACAGAGCCTAAATCAGTTCGGAAGATTGATGGAGCAAAGACCAGGATGACTTTGAAAATTAACAATAGTATCCGGCCAACATTTGATGGAGAGGAGTCCTCACAGGGGCAGAAAGAAGGTTGAAGAACAAGAGCCTAAACGGACCTCAACACCTAGTTTTGTAAGTTATAAAGAATGATGGCAAGATGGCTCTTGTGCTTGACTGCCATTATTCAGAGAATGAGGCTAGACGGGAAGAAGAGAAGAGTGACATCTGCTCCATTAAAGAAGTGAGTTTTCAGTCCACTGATGAGTCTGACTGGAATGACACAAGGTACACCCTCCACACTGATTCCCTGCACTGGCCTTTGTATGACCACTTAATGGATCTCCTTGTGGACAGAGGGGCAGACAACGCTTTTGCAGATGAGCTGGTGGAGCTTAGCATAGCCCTGGAGCACCAAGAGTGCATAATGAACTATATGTACAAGATGTACTCATGTACAATAGTACACTACTTTCCTGGAAGATCTCAAAAGTTTTGTTAAAAGCCAGTAGAGCGGAGCAGACAGACACTGAAAAACTTCGTTTTAGGTCAGGTAAACAAAACCTAAAGGCCAGATGATAATAACCTACTATCATGGGGAGAAAATGCAAACTTAAATTATTTCTCTCAGAACTCTGTTTACTATTCTTTTATTCTTCCTCTAAAATTATTTTTAATTTTTTTTTTTGCTTTTTATATATAACATGATGGACAATAAAATTAGTTTATCCCTTGGAAAAAAGAGAAATGGTTAAAAATGGTATTATGGCATTTTTTAAAGTTATTTTTTACCATAACAAAATTTTTAGGCAGGGAAGGGGTTGGTCCAAAGCTTCAATATACTTAAGAACTACTGCTCCAAAACATATGTGCCACAGACAGAAACCCCCACCTCTCTAGACATTTCTTTCAGCTCCATCCACTGAACTGCACACATAAATCAACACATATTGGAAGGAAAATAAACCATTATGTCTAATTTTCTGTGCTTGCTGCTTTGAGGACGGTTCATTGTGAAGCAGTCTCCATGCAAGGAATGGGGCCCACGAGCAACATGTACCTAGTTCCATTTCAAGACAATCATAATGATCAATTTGTGAGGCTGATGGAAAACCTTACAGTGGTGTCACACACAGCACTCGCCTGGATGCGGACGTGCTGCAGAGACATTTAACCAAAGAAAAAAAGGAGATTGTTTTAGCAAAGCTCCTGCGATTAGGACTGGGGAAAGCTAACTGTTTCGCTCCCTCTTCTCCTTTGTGACAGGGTGAAAAGTACACAGCTGCTGCTCCTGTGTCTGTCATTTATGTTTCTCCAACGCCGGGAATCTTTTCAAGGAGCGAGGCGCTAGTGGAACAAAGGTACTTCAATCAGAGAGAAACCAAAGGCCTGCACCTTCTTCTTCCCAGGGAGGAGAGGGGGAGGTAGAAATGAGGAGTCAGAGCCAGGCTGAAAATGGCAGCCACCACTAACTCGCTCCCTGACCTCAGGCAAGTCAGTGAAACTGCCTGAGTCATGGTTTCTTCATCTGAATAAAATCCGGAAAATGATTCCATTGCCCACTAAATGAGATGTTACATGTAAAAGGGTACATATAGTGGATGTTGTTGTTGTTTTTGTGTACTGTGGAGTCAGAACTGACCCATAGCTGACCCTCTAGTGGGTTTTCAGAGGCAGTTAAATCAATTGCACGGGAGACTGCCCATCCATCTCCTGTGGAGCAGCTGATGTAGTCAAACATTGCATGCCTTTAGGATTACAGCACAGATTCCTACCAGGACAAAATGTTCAAGAAACATAATTTCCTTTTCTACACATCCCCAATCACTCATACACAAACGACGCCATTTATGGCTTTCTAGCTCTCGTGGGTTACTGCAATAGGTTTCATCTGGACATAATTTTGCCACACAACCCCCAGCAGACACTTGGTAACGTCTGGAGAGATGCAAGGTTGTTCTGACAGGGTAGGTGAAGCAGTATGGAGAGTTTAGAGTCCAGGAATGGTGTTTAAAATCCTACAGTGCATGGGACAGCTCCTCACAGCAAAAAGTATCCAGCCTGAAATGCTGACAGTGTTGAGGCTGAGGCTGAAGAATACAGTTGTAATCCTCAAGAAAACTGCTATATTATTGAAGGTCTAGGTTTGAGGACCACGGAAGTCTGATAAACTCAGATAATCCCAATTGTAGCACCTGGGTAACATCTCAAAGCCTGTATTTCCACTTCTATACAATGAGGTTAATGCTCCTGACTTCAATGTGGCTAATGTGAAAAATACAAAAGAGAAAGGATCAAACACACAATTGCTCACAATTTGTAACCTTCCACCCCACCCTCTCTTTCCAATTTTAATTGTTAGAATGGCACCTGTCTCTACAGTGATCCACCCTTTACTGTTATTTTTCACAGTGGAAAATGCCAGCACTACAAAAAGACCTCCCCTTGCCTCATCCCACAATTCGGCTACCTGGATATGCCAAGGTCTGAGGATTAAAAACCCCTGATGGCTATATTCATGTCTAGTAGAATATTGGTGGAAATGTAAACTTTTCATTTCAAGTTGTTGCAATTTTGAGCTAATGTTACCAATTTACTAGTTAATGTGTTTTCATTTCATGTTGTGGATATTTTGATTTAGTGTTAACAATTTTTCTGTTTACTGCCTTTATGTGTATCTTTTATTTCAAAGCCAGTTTGCTTGGCTCTATAGTCAACAGTCTTGGCACCAGCAGCCAGGAAATTAAAAGGTGCATTGCCATGGGAAAGTCTGCTGTTAGGGACCTCTCCAAAGTACTGAAGAGCAATGGTGTCTCTCTGGAGACTAAGGTGCATCCGATACAGGCCATGGTCTTCGCAATCAATTGTTATGCATCAGAGAGTTGGACAATGACCAGGGAAGATAGAAGGACAATTGATGCCTTTGAGCTGTGGTGCTGGAGAAGAGTATTGAGGATACCATAGACTGCTAGGAAAACAAACAGATTTGTCCTGGAACGGGTTAAAATGGGTTGCTCCTTGGAGGCAAGGATTCTGAGGCTCCATCTAACTTACTTTGGACATGTTGTGAGGAGAGACCGGTCCTTGGAGAGGGACATCATGCTTGGGAGGGTGGAGGGACAGTGCAGGAGAGGAAGGCCCTCTATGAGGTGGATTGATTCAGTGACTGGGATAATTGGGATGGGAGTGTCAGAGACAGTGTGATTGGCACAGGACAGAGTGGAGTTTAGGGCTGTTGTACATAGGGTCGCTATGAGTCGCAAGCATCTCGACGGCACATAACAACAATAGGGTAGGAGAAAGAAGAGCAGGTAGGCCATTTCACAGACACAAACCCAGAGATGACTGAGTGGCAGAGCTGGGATTTGAAACCAGGGCTGTGTCATTCTACTTTTACTGCGACTATAAAGATAAACAAGAAATCTTTGAAGCCTCTTTGCTGGTCACAGCTCTGACCATCTTGGTCTCCCCTACATTTTCATCCATTAAGAAAGAATGTGTGAAACTCTGAGGCATGATGTGGAGGGGCAGAGGAGCAACCATATCTACCCACAGGGCCTCTCAGTGCCCAGAATGTAATCTGGCTCCCATCCCTCAAAGCTGCCTAATTAAAGCTCAGCACACCCATTCCCTTTGAGTTTCCCAATATTGCTGCACCCCTCCTCCAAGTGAGACTGATTAGCAGCTGAGGCTTCTTGAAGATGCTCACGTTCAGAGTCGTATCGACTCTGAGAATTTCATCAGGATGTTTTCATTTTCTCTAAATTCATTTCAAATCTGAAAATCTGAAAATTAGCTGACAATTTAGAAAATTAGTGTTGGGAGGGCATTCATCCTCAGAACATTTCCCAATGCCTGCTCTGTACCACACCCGGTGACAGACACTTGATGCAGTGACACAGTAAAAAGAAGGTGTGTTCTCTGCACTCAGGAGCTCATGGTCTTTACTCCTCTCCCTCCACTTGAGGGAGGGAGACAGAAAAGAGATAACAGGTGTTATCACCCCAAGGGGTTAATTTGGACCACCTAACAAAGGTAATGCTTAAGCTGAAATCTGAAGGACTAGTGGGAGACAAAGTGAAGGAAAAGATGGCAAGAGCGGTAGGCAGAGGCAGGAGTGCGTAGCCCAGGGAAACATGAGTAGTTGATTAGAGTTATGATCAATCCAAACAGAAGGGGTTCAAGTCCACGAGCTGCTCTACATGAGAAAGATGGGCCATCTCCTCCTATCTGATTCACTGCTTCTGAAAACCTGCTGGAAAGGCAGCCATGAATCAGGCCTCGGTGGTACCTAACAACAGAGAAAAGCCTAAAAGAAAAATAATAGAAGATCTTCTTTAAACTTGTTATTGTGGAAAGCTTTAGACACGGACAAAACAAGTGTGCTAGGCCTCATCCCACTGCTTACACCCTAAACCCCACAATCAGGGCATCGTATCAGTCTTGTTATGTTGATATCTGACCCACTTCCTCCCTTCTGTACAATTTTTTAAGTAAATCATATCCTTTCAACTCTTAACTATTCTAGTGCACAGACTTGATTTCTTAATGGAAGAAAATCATTGACAGGCAAACAAATGCCAAAGGGCAAGAAACCTGCCTGTGGACGAAGAATCAGAGCATGGGAGAGCTAAGGCAGAACAAGGCCACTTCATCTCACCAGCACCAAACCACGTGTCAGCAATTCTATGAGGGCCCATTCTTCTCTCTGTTGTTGAGTCCTTTCCAATCATACCTGATCCTCCACTGAATTTCAGAGGCTAGAAATGCAGAGGAAGAGACTGCCCATCTTTCTCCAGAGTATCTTCCTGTAGCTTTGAATCATGAGAAAACAGAAGCCGCCAACCCCTACAGACAACACCACTAGAACATCCTTTAAAATCTCCAGTTACTTCAAGTCTTTTCGCCATTTTACTTCTGGAGAAATGACCCCTCCCGCTTTTGGGACATATATTCTCTAATAAAATTATCTTTATTTTCACCTTCAAAAAACCTATCAACCAAATAAAAAAGACTCTAGTTACTTCAAAATATGAGCTAAATAAAAAGGAAACATGTTTGCATCCTAAGGCTCTGACGCTCAACCTCCTGTGTGACCCTGAACAAGTCACTTAAGTTCTCCCAGCTTGGACAGCATGATATAAAATAAGGATGACAAGTATCACTTACCTCATAGCATTACTGCGAGAATTATATGTAGCGATGCACATGAAAACATTTCCTAAATGTATAATAAAACCAAAACCAAGCCCACTACCATTATGGCAATGTCAACTCACAACAAATCTGCACCAGATTTCAGAAGACTGCCCTGTTTTCTCCCACAGAAGAGCTGGTGGATTCAAACGACTAACCTTCGAGGAAACAGCTCAATACATAAAGTCCTATGCCACCAGGGCTCTCTAAATAAATCATAAAATGCATAAAAATCCAAGTAATTATTCTTTTTTTATCATATTGTGCCAAAAATCAGACAATTCTTAATAGAAAGTAGATCTATTTGGTTTTCAATTAAGGCAATTACCATCTAAGCACTTTATAAGCCTTCTAAGCAAACCAACAGGGCTTTGCTCCCTCAAGAAATTACCAGCTATTTCCATGACAGGAGTGTGCATAAGCACAGGCACACGTGTGCATGATGTCCAAACCGAAACACTCACCTGCTTGAGTCCTGCAGAGACTTTACCAGACTGGAATAGATGCCCTGCTCTTTCTTCAGGACCCGAAGCAGCTCTTCATAGTCTGACTGTTGCTTGTCCTGAGAATGAGAGTGAATATCTGACATTAAAGGGAAGAATCTTAAGAGTGTATTCTTTTATTATGCACTGTATGTGGATACTCCTAGTTTTGAAACCCTAATTGAGGTAAGGCCCCAAGGCAGGCGGTGAGTCAGGCAGGCCACAGTCAGAGAGCACCACCTTCAGGACAAGTGGGGAATGACTCTCTGCCTCTGATTAAAGAATGAAGCTGGAGCTAAGCTTTCTCATCAACCAGCTCTTACTAAAGAATCAGGATAATCATTCTATTTGTCCATCATGAAACTATCGCCCTCAGAGCTGTTGCTCACAGCCTTCACAACCGCTCACGGAATGAATGCCTTCATACACTCTTCCTCTATATGTTGTATGTGCTGGAAGGGGGAATGTGTGAAAATTTACCTCTTTCCCAAAGCACTGACATTCACTAACTGAAACTTGTAGAGTACTGGGGACAAGGATGTTCAGTAAAGAAGAAGGTGAGTACCACTCCTTTACCACTGCTGATGGCTTTCAAAAGAATCACAGTATGGGGGCCTGGATAGAGTGCGAGACAAATGCAGACTACAGCAATAAAAAACATAAATTGTCAGGCTTACAGGTCTGACAGAGACAAGTGGAACTCCTGAGACCATGGCCAGCCCTGAAGCACCTGCTAATCTTGGACATGAACCCACCCCTGTGGCACAACTTTTAGCAGGTGAACAGTGATGCCACAGAGGCATTCAGTCCTTAAAATGATCTACTATATGGTGTCAAAAGGGCAACATCTGCCCAAGGAAAAAGTTCAAAAGGCAGGAAGCAAGAAGACAGAGGATGACTGGAGGGAGACCGTGGGAAGAGAGCTGGTACAACATGTGGACGGCAATCAGTGTCATTCAGCAGAATATGCTCACGTGGTACCAATCTGCCTGCAAACTTTCACTCAAATCACAATAAATAAGTGAAGAAATCACTGAAAGAGCAGCACTCTGGAGGCACCCAGAATAGTGATGATAAACAGGTCAAAGATGGGTCACTGCCGTTCATGACTTGGTAGGCAGCAGGTAAGAGAAAAAAGAACCAGGGATTCTTAGAGTAAAGGCAGATCCTAGGAATGGGGGGCAGGGGGTGGTGGAGAGGAGAACCTATCTACAGCATTCTACTGTGCCAGAAAATATGAAAATATTCTAGTAACAATGGCATGGTTTCAAAAGGATAAAGATGTCAACCTTAAAGAAACTCCTACTAGGTGAAGTCCAGACAAAACAAATGATCGACATGAAAATGGCAGTGTCTAACTTCAGATGAGGAGAGAAAAGGCATTATTGGCACTAGTCGATTTCTAGGCAGTGGAGGTGAGATATACCTTCTCTCTTCAACTTTTTTTAACAATTTGGACACAAGTTGTCTCTTCATGGCATTTTCTACTTCTCTGCTGGGGTCAAAAATTTGTTGCATGGCCACACAGAACTTACAGACCAAAGAGGAGGCAAAAAATTTCCTTAACTCCAACAATAAGTGCCCAGAAGTAAGCAAGCCTATTTTGTCAATAGGCCTGGACCCAAAGACCTTCAGCTTTCTCACTCCATGGAAACCCACCAAGCTGTCTCCTAACAGCGTCCTGATTCTGTATCAGTTCTCTGTCACACTGGCCATCACTTCTTGCCATCATGCACTGCTTCTGGTGTTATAGCAATTTGCCTCCTGGGTTAGGAGGTTCTTGGTGCAAGAACCCCAGGTCCAAAGTTTACCCTCTTAACTCTTCTTCTCCATGGTAGTGAGGTGCCACCTTATCTAACTCTGGGATGGCTCATTTTATCTGGAGGGGGCAGGAGGGGGAGGGAGCAACACTGGCCAATTCCCTTGTTAAGAGTTCTAGCCATCTAATCTGCATTATTTATTCCTACAAGAGTGCCATATACCTTATCCCCATCATTAGCAAGTTTTCTAATCCTCTTGACGTGCTAAGGGCACCTGATTTGCACAATCCCACTTAATTATTGAGAGGAAGACCTTCAACCGGGTAGACTGACACTGTAACTGCCACAATGGGCTATAATATGTCAGGAAGTGTGAGGATGGCACAGGATAGAAAAGCACTCAGATCTGTTGTTGATAGAGTCATTATAAGTCATACTCAACTTGATGGGACCTAACAACAACAATTTTTTAAAACAAAGATTCTTACCACTGGACCAATAGGGAGTGTCATGATAGGTGGAGAGGAGACTGAAACTGTCAACAGCTTCATCTTGCTTGGATCCACAACTAACACCCTTGGTACCAGCAGTCAGGAAATAAAGAAATGCATGGCGCTGTCAGGCCTTGGTCTTTCCAATTACTTGCTATGCATCTGAAATCTGGACAATGAATAAGGATGACAGAAAAAGAACTGACGCCTTTGAAGTGTGATGTTGGACAAGAGCACTGAACATTCCATGGATGGCCAAGAGAATAAAGTTAAGTCTTGAAGAGGGTGCAGCCTGAGTGCTATTTGGAGGTAGGAATGAGGCTTCACCTCACATACTTTGGGCATGTTGCTAGGTGCGGCTATTCCTTGGAGAAGGACATGATATTGGTAAGGGTGAAGGGTCGGCAAAGGAGAGGAAGACCCTCAACTAGGTGGACTGACACAGTGACTGCTGCAATGCGCTCTTGTGTAGCAGGAAGTGTGAGGACGGCACAGGATAGAACAGGGTTCAGATCTTTTGTTCATAGGGTCGCTATGAGTCGTATTTGACTCAATAGCACCTCACAACAAAAACTTAATCATAAATGGGTGTTACAAGATTATGGCAATAAAAATGACATAAGGTGCTAAGGTTATCCATCACACTGCAATATAACAGAATAAGGTCCACTAAATAAAACACAAAACCATGTACCCACACTAATAAGAATAAATACTGGGATAACTAAATGGTAGGGTGGGGTGGAGATGGGGGTGTCTTAGTAGAATGCTAACTAATAAAAGTACAAGGAATGATGGAATTATAAAAGCTATCATTTGCCAGCCATTACAATACAAAATTATTTAAACAGTCTTTGTATTTCACATTCATTTATGCTTTCTCCAAGGGGCCCTGCTAGTGCAGTGGTCAAAATGCTTCGACCACTAACTAAAAGATCGGAGGTTCAAACTTATCAGCCGCTCTCCAGGAGAAAGGAGTGACTGCCTGCACCTGCAAAGATCTAAAGCTCTGAAACCCTATAGGGAGGTTCTACACTGTCCTGAAGGATCCCTCTGAGTAGGAATTGACTCGTGGGCAGCGTACTTGGTTTTTCCTGTGTTCCCCTTCCCCCCAAGAGCTACAGTGTACCAACCACCTGTTTACAAAGCTGCCCTCCCCAACCAGTCAGAGGGCACCTGGAAGGCAGCAGCAGAACAGTTCCTAGCACAGACCAAATGCTGCCATAAACACGTGCTGAACTGATGGCTAAATAGGTAGCAAAGGAACACACAGTGACTGAGATGAATCTTAAGAGCAGAGATTCCTGGGGCTATTTTGCATAATAGAAGTCAGAGTGAGTCAATGTCTTCCTAGAAGCAAATTGCTCACCCATGTTAAATAAATGAACTCTTGGAGCCATTTGGGTCCCATTTCATCAATCACCTATTCCCCTGCGTTGAATCATGCCCCATTAGAATGAAGTCATTTGGCTCCCTCAGCAAGGCTGAGAAACCAATGGGTCTCCTCTCGCACCAAGTCAGAGGGCCAGGAGGCCCAGAGGCCCCAGGAGGAGTAATGAGAAGCACCTTCTCAGTAAGAACAACCAATATCCCTTTCCCCTGCCCCTCTAACCCCCTCCCACTGCACCCTTCCAACCAAGAAACAAGCTCAAAGATCTCTTATCACAGAAGAGAGGTCAGACTCCATCCACATCTATAGCACAGGGCAGCAGCCCGTGAAGTGATCACCCAGCACCCAGTTCATCATGATTCCTCTGCCTGCCTCCTCTTAGAACAATCTCAAAAACATAAGGGGAGTCCCAAAGAGAGCCCTTTACTTCGTGAGCCCACCCCCAAGTTCACACTAATCACTAAGGTTCTGTCCTCCTCTAGGAATTCAGACACTCAGAGACACCAGAAGTACTAAAGTCACTGGCTCTCAGTCACACTGACTGTGACAGCACCCTCAATCCACTGCTGTAGAGCGCATGGAGCTTCCATGGTTTTCATCTTCCCCAGGGCATCTGTGAGAATATTCCTAATAAACAATCCTTTAGATTGTTCTTTCACTAAACTATGTTTCTATTTCTATAGCTTACAAATCAAAGAAAACACAAGTACATATTTCTAATCCTCTCAGCTAATATGGGGTGGAAGGCGTGTAATTTCCCATTTCACCATTTAGAAAGGTGAGTTTCAGAGAGACTAAGTGGTTTTTCCAAGGTCACAGAGCCAGTAAGTAGTAGAATTGTAATTCAGACACCAAAGTCAGGGAGGGCATTTTCTAATCCACCCTAGTGTCCTTAATGACTTGAAAAAAACACATGCATTGTGCAGATCACAATCTGAAGAGGCAGCAGAAATGTAAAGAAAATGTAATGGATCACTTGTTGGTAATCAAGGCAATTTAGTGGCCTGGCAGATAGATTGAGTCTATTTCAGTAGCTGTGTCACAGTCCTGCCACACAGACATTTATTTTAATACTCAAGAAACTTCAGCAGCAATGTCCTAACCATGTCAATAATCAAGCTATAAATCTCAGGCCGTAGCAAGTTAAATATGGTCAGTGTGTTTAACTCTGTATTCTTCAATTCCCTGATCATCCAGCATTAATCCTCAGGACCACACAATGACCCGAAGGAAAACAGAATGCCCAGAGTCTATGCAGACATCATCCCAGCCTCAAGTTCTTTGTAGAAAGGGTGGAGGATAAATCCTAAATCAACACAAAAGGACCAAAAGTTAGCAGAAGAAATAATTTTCTTTCTACATAGTTGTTGTATACTGTCAAGTCGGAACCGACCCATAGCTGACTCCCTAGCAGGTTTTCGAGGGAGGAGACTGCCCATCCTTCTCCTGCAGAGCAGCTGGTGGATTTGAACTGCGTGCTTTTAGGACTGCAGCACAACACCTTGCCCACTGGGCCACCAGTGCTTCTCTGAGAGAACTATAAACTAAAAAGTATCCTTTTTGAGGGGAAAGAAAAACAAGAACAAATTTGTAAGGCCATAACAATTGGGATTTCTTAAACTGATGCCTAAAAATTGACAATTCTTTAGTGATAATTTCATAGCAGGTTACATTTTGGCCTGCTGACTGAAAGATTCAAATCCAGCATCTACTGTAGGGGAGAAAGATGGGGCAGACTGCTCTGACTAAAATTACCAGCCCTGGAAATCTGGTGGAGGGTCACCAGCAGTCAGAGTCAACAAGACTACAGTGGTTTCTAAGTGATAATTTATAATCTTTTACTCACAATTTACAATGAGTCTTGTAGAGTAGAATTAAGACCTTTCTTCAAATATTTGGTTATTTTGTACAGTAATTGAAACATCATTAGGAAATGAATGTAACTAAAACACCAATAAAGCATATTAATGGGTATTTGAAATACATGTCACCCAGTACAAAAACCTAAAACTGATACAGCACAGATAAAAGTTAATCTAGTGAAATTAAATTTTGAAAACCTCAACCTGTTCAATAAATTTACAAACACATTAGAAGCATTATTACATGACTAAGAGGTGATTTAAAGTAGAAAAGTTTAGATGTTTTTCAAATGAGTAAGGATGTGTCTATCTTAAAAAATTGCTGGGTTGCTAGTTTGTTTCAAAGTAGTACATACATTATTACAGGCTGCATGGACATCTTAACAGGCCAACTAAATAATTATAAGCAAGTTAGAATCATATATGTTCATCCTCTGTGAGTTACTGGACTTAACCAAGGTAACCAAGTAAAATGACACAGCAGGCCCAGCCCAAAAGCTCTTTCTTCTCTCAGCTCAAAGGCTCTTTCCCCAAGTCCATGTTAACACTTTCATTCAAGAGAAATCGGAAAATATTAATCTCCTAATGGGGATGATAGTGAGCAGATACACAGCACAATGGCCAGTCAGCTGTTGCTGTTAGCTGCTATCCACTCAGCCCCTGATTCGTGATGACTCCAAGCACAATGAAACAAAATGCCACCAGGTCCTACTTCACTCCCGTGAGTTATGGGTAGGATCACTGGGACCCATGATCATCAGGTCCTTCTTCCTAGTCCAGCTTGGTGTGAAAGCACTGCTGTTCAACATCATCGTAACACTAGCTGCTAAAATACTGAAATATTTAAATAACCCTCTAGTCAGCACATCTCTACCCACCTGATGTCCTAGGTCCATCTTCCCTGTGAGCCACTTGGGACCTTCTCATAATCCAGTAATTACAGAGTTGATATCTGGTACAAGAGTACAACTCCAAAACCCTGCATTAGCCCTACTACTGTCTGTGTCTGTTCTGCTGGCTGCTTACTATGCTATACTAGCTGTTAATTATTTTGAGAATCACCATTCACAAAACCACAAGTTACAATCTGAGTCATTCATCAGAGAACTAATTTGCATAATAGTTCTCTGTCTTCTGAATATTTAAACTTAACTGAAGTCAGTCAGGTTTGTTTTTAAAAATAAATAAATAAAAAACACAACACACACACACACACACACACACACACACACAATTTGGTCTGCAATTAAAACTCCTTTCTGTTTTCAGTCCTGGTTGTTAATTTGCATAAAATAAAAGCGAGGGGAGAGAAGGAAGTCTCAAAGTAATCTCTATGCATCTCTCACAAATCAGGGTAAGGATTCACGCACTCAACGTTTACTGAGTCAGGCACTGGGCGAGGCAGTGAGATTCAGAGAACATCAGTTGCCTGCCCAAGAGATGCTGTGGTGCTCGATGCTCAAGTGAGGAAAATCAGGAAAGAAGGTCCCACAACATCAACAGAAAGGAAGACAGTGCTGCGATGGAGGGCCATGAAAAATACTATGAACCAGGAAGGAAGCAGAAATGGCACGACTAATGGCTCAAGCAAAGATCACACAAGAGGGGCATCTTTAGGAATGTTCTGGAATTACTACGCAAACAAGAAAAGAACAGGCCTTTCAGACAGCTAGAACTACACACACAAAGACACAGAGAAGTACAGAATATGGCAATTTCAGAAATCGGCAGAAGTTAGCTGTAGTTGAAGATGATGAGGAGATGAACGAAAAAGAGCAGGTAGGATGTGGTGGATAGGAACATTTTCCAAACACTTGAGATTTCCATAGTTCTTGAGAAGTAAGTCTGGCAGAGCAAACGTGACGCCCATCTTTTGACCAGTTGTCACGTCCCAGTTTCATGTGCCATCAAATACCAATGCTCAGCTAAAGAATATTAATCAAGAAAGTAGAAAGACTAAGAAGGACTACCCCTACCTGCTGTAAATGCAGTTATCAGCAAGAAGGTATCTGAAGCTCTCTCTCTAGATCAAAGGAGTTCTCAAATAAGTTTCAGAAAGGAATATGAATACATTCACATGTGAACATCCAATTTCAGTCAAGCTTACCTCAAAGATGATTTTGCTGCCTGGTGACTGGTGAGAAGAGCACTTTTCTGTTATTAAGCCTTCGCTCCTGAACTTGAAATCCTCTGCTGTCATTAGATGACAGTTCTGCTGAATTGCTTCCAAATCTTTTTCATTGAATTTCTACAGAAACAAAACAAATCAGATGGAAGTTTCTATCAAGAAAAATATTACAAAACTGTCCCAAATTCTTTAAGGCAAGACATTTTACTTGCTCATAATACCTGGATGTCTTCTGATATCCACTACTCCAATATATCTGACAATTACAAAACTGTAAATGCAATTGCATTTGTGTATTACTATTACTCAGAGATGGAAGTACAGCACAATGATACCAAGCTTCTTAATTCACAGCCACTGTGACTGCTACCCAGTAAGTGTGTAGGGCAAAGTTTAGGTTCTGACCAGTAGAAATGGTTCCAATTCTAAGGCTACTTCTTGGTCGAGATGTGACCTCTGTTTCTTGCTGTGTTAAATAAGAACAATGATATCTACCATTCGGGCTTCTTTAATACACCTATATATAAAAAATATATATACAATTATATATATAATTGTTGATATATATATCAAAACCCAGCAAACTGTTAATAACATTACAAATCTGAAACATTTTGAACCTTCCTTATCTACAAGAGACATGATTTCCAGAAGAAAATTCAAAAATGCATCTATCACTTTAGGGTCTAGTCATATATTAAAAGCTCCTTCCTGATGAGGCAGTTTCACCTTGACAACAATGAGTTTCTCTGAGTTGTTTTACTTATTTAAGAAGTCCTGGTGGCATGATACTTCATTAAATGAAGTCAGCAATTCAAATCCACCAGATCTCTGCAAAAGATGGGCAGTCTTCTCCAACAAAAACTGGCAACTTCAGAAACCTAACGGAAGGTTAGAATCAACTAAATGGCAGTGGGTTTGTCATATTTGTTCACTAAGTTAACTAAGTACCTAAAATCAAGTTATATATATAGCGATATTAGATGCCACTGTGTTGACTCCAATGGAAGTGGCCTTACAGACAACAAATCAAAACTCTGCCAATTCATAATTTCTGCTGTGATTAAACTCACCATTACAGTCACAGTGTCAATACATGTCATTAAAGGCCTCTTCTCCAATGCCGACCCTCTACTTTACAAAGCACAAAGTCCTTTTTCCTATAGTATGACCCAAAATATGTGAGTCAAAGTCTCACCATCCTTGCTTCTGGCTGTAATTCTTCCAAGACAGATTTGTTTATACGTTTGGTAGTCCATGGGATATTCCCTATTTTCAGCCAACATCAGAATCCAAAGGCGGCAATTCTTTGGTCTTCCTTTTGCATACACAAGAAGCAAATGCAAACACGCAGGCTTGGGAAGGGTATACCGTGATGTTAAGGGTTTATTGTGCAAAATGGCTTTCCTAGCCACTGACTTTGACTTTGCCATGTGGATGGGTGGGAATATGCGGATAGGGTGTGTTAGCCTATCCACAAGGAGACTGGTTACTCTTGTCATTAAATTCAGTGGATCCAGCAGCAGAATTTGAGAAGCTCACCTACGACAAAAGAAGCAGCAGAGAATGCATGTCCTCCTTGAGGATCATAGATCCTTGCACCAGCCAGCACAGCATAGGACAGCAGCAGCTGCTGCAGCAGAGAATCAGAGACCTGACATGCAGCTCACAGAACCAGGACGAGGAGCCTTTGCTCAATTTCACTGGAAGACTGGGAGGAGAGCCGTTACTGTCAGGACCAAAAGTTTTATAATACTGGCCTAAAGCTGCAACGCTGAGGGCTGTGGGGCCTGCAAGCACACTTTGGAAGCTCTCTTGAGTGATTGTGTTCTGCTACCAATGACTACCTTCTGATGTCACTAATAAACCCCATAACTGTGAGCATGGTTCCATGTGTTCTACGAATTACTGCAACAGATGGCAGATCCAGCAGATCAGTAAGATTGTTGCTGGGATTAGTAGAAAGGGATGCAGAAGTGTGGGGGACATGTCTGACCTCGTGGAAATAAGTTTTGTGTTGTGGATGATGATATGATGATGGAGAAAGTTCTCCCCAATGGGGTCAGTAGAGGTCGGAAATGGTTAGCCCCACGTGGCCCCTGGTCCTTTTGCCTACAACTTAGTCTTTAACATGCCATTCTTACTCTTCAGCATTTTAAGTAGGTCCTCTATAACTGATTTGTTCATGACAATATGTTGATTTCTCTACTTTTAAGGTATTGACTAGAGAGCCAAGTAAAAGGAAATCATTGATAACCTCCATCTTTTCTCCATTTATCATGATGCTGTTCATTGGTGAGAATTTTCGCTGTCAATTATGTTGAGGTTTAAATACACATTGAAAGCTGCAGTGTTTAATCTTCAGTAAGGGCTTCAAGTTCTCTTTACTTTTCAGCAAGCAAGATTATGTTATAAGCATAATGCAGGTTGTTGAGTCTTCCTCCAATTCTGATGCTACATTCTTCACAGAGGTCAGCTTCTCAGACTGTATGCTGAGATACATTTAATTTCTCTCTGAACTCTCTTAAAGTACTCAAATATGAAGTAATAGCAGGTAACTGACAACTCCCTTTCCATTTCTTGAAGAAACCCTAACCAAAGTCCTCCCTCTACAACACAAACTTGAGTTCTTCATAAAAGCTGTTCAGTTGTCATCCTGGAATTTCTCTTCATAACATCTCGGGAATTCTTTCTAGAGCCAATGTCTGCCAGTCTCACTTTTACTTGAAGAATTCCTTCATTTGCATGCAATCAAACCTCAGAAGAACCTTGCAAAAAATTGCATTGGGGGCAAACTTTTTAGACATCTAATGTCTGAAAATGCCTTTATTCTGGCTTCACACCAATGACATCCCATCCCAAAAAAGACTGTTACACTTTCCTAACAAATCTGAAAACACTGCTTTTCTTTTTTTCTGGCTTTCAGCATTACCAGAAAACTCCCAAACTACGAAATTTGATGTCATTCTGAGTCTGGGTCCTTTGTCCATGATCTGAATTTTCCACTTCCTCAGAAGCATTTTTAATTCTCCTTTTATTTAACCTTCTGTTCTGGAATTTCATCATGATGTGCCTTGAGATATACAGGTCTTTTTTTTCTCTGAGCTTCCATTTCTCCAAACTGACCTTTCTGATAGCTGAAGCCCAAATGATACAAAGCAAGTCCTGAACACAAGAAACAGAGAGTATAACCTTATTTTTATATAAATGTTCTTGCAAGAAAAAATTTATTGGATGGAAAAAAAGTGTTAACACATGTTAAATCAAGATTTAAATATAAAAGAAAACAAAACATATGGTACCATAAGCAACAAGTCCTTCTGATTGACACTTTCTGTTAGTCGTTGGATCGTTTGCTCTTGGCTGTGCAACTTCTTATTATTTTCACTCAAAAGACTCTTATAACGATTCTCCACTGCCCTCTCTCTTTCATTCATTCTGTCACATAATTTCTCAACTTGGTTTGTAAGGTCCTATCAACAGAAGGAGGAAAGGCATTTTATTTGACAAAACTTTCAAAACAACAAGCCTCAACCTATTTGGCAGGTCATAGAATGTCTATAGGAGAATAAGCTAATTGACATTGTTTAACAAGTGCATACTTTCTTCTCATTAAAGTCTTAAGGAAACCAACTTTAAGAACAGTCAGAGGTTTGAAAACAGAAACCCCTGACCCTTATATACAGATAATATATGACAGCATAATTTACAATACAAAAAAAAGGAAGAGACCAGATATTCAACAAGAGGAACATTATTTTCAAAGACAGCATAATATGCAAAAAAGCATTATTATTATTATTATTATTATTATTATTATTATTAAAAACAAGCCAGGATACCAAATTATATATGTAATTGGATGCTGACAGTTTTCTGTTTTTATAAAATGTTGTTAAGATTACAAAGAAACACATCAAAATAATAACAGTATATCTGAATAAAGATTATGGATGGTTTTCCAGTTGACACTTTACTTGAAAAAATCAAATTTTTCTGCATTTCCAAAACCTCTAAATAAGTCTTACTTTCATAATCAGAAAAAATAATTATCTTAAATAATATCATTTACAAGGCATTTATAATAACATGGAAAATGATAATGGGGAAAAAGAAACAGCATCAAGTGTGATTTTGACTACCTTAAAATATGTAGTATTCATAATATAAGGACCACTTGTAACAGCAAAAGGCTGGAAACAATCCAAATGTCCCCAAAAGAGGAATAATCTGTAACACATTCTCACCATGGAGTACTCTCATGGTATAAAAGAAAAATATCTTACTCAACAAATATATTGCCCTAAAGAAATCTTAAAGGAGCATGGTGGCACAGTAGGTGAGGGCCCAGCAACTAAACCCAAGGGTTTAAACCCACAGTCAGCCAAAGAAGAAAGATGTGGCAGTGTTGCTTCCATAAAGATTTACAGCCTTGGGAACCCTTTAGGGCAGCTCTCCATCTTACATGGTCACTATGAGTCAGAATTGATTAGACCACAAGGGGTTGGCTCAGATTTTCTAAAAGTAAACTTCAGAAACAATTGTTAGAGACAGAGAACCCAAGAGAAAAAAGTATGTATTTCATACTACCATTTATTTAACCATAAAATAGATGTATGCCTAAAGGTGGTAAGACAGAGTGATGTATCATAGATCAAAAGTAATTATTTATATAAAATTCAATATATAGAAATGATTGTATAAAACAAAATGTCCAGGAATAAAACAATGCACACAAATTATTCTATAAATATGAATGACTCTATAAAACATAAGGTAAATGAAACACGGTGCATATGAACAATTGTATGCAAACTAATTTGAAAAAATATATGGTTGCCTAGAGCAAACAGGTAAAAGGGACAAAGACAGGTAAGATCTAATTTTAAAGATGTGACTTTGAATTCACTTGAATGTTAATATAATGAAAAAGTAGATAAAAATAATTTTTTAAATGAATAAAAAGTAAAGCCATATGTATCTAACTAAGGATCAAGATAATTGGTTACTCAAACAGAAAGGGATTATTTCAAAACTTTAAAGGAGAGTAATTTGTACAATTTAATGGAATAGTTTCCTCAGGAGAAAAAAGACTACCATAAAAATCTTTTCCGTAATCACACTGTAAATCTGATTAACGATAATCACAAACTAAAATAAGGACCCCAGAGTTGACAAGATATCAACTGACATGTTTCAACAAAGAAATGCAGTCCTGGACTTACCTGTGCTCACCCATCTGTGCCAGGAAATTTGAGAGACAGCTATCCTGGCCAACTGACAGGAAGAGATTCCTATTTGTCCCCATTACCAAGAAAGGTGATGCAACAGTATGTGGAAATTATAGAACAGTATGATTAATATCACATGCAAGTTAAATTTTGCTGAAGAGGATCCAAAATTGAATGGAATGCTACATCAACTGCTCAAAGTTCAAGGTGGATTTAGAAGAGGCCATGGCACCAAGGATATCATTGCTGAAGTCAGATGGATCCTGGCTGAAAGTAGAGACTATAAGAAGGATATCTAAGGGAGCTCTGGTGGCCTAGTGGCAAGAAACTGTACTGCAATCCCAGAGGTGAGTGGTTCAAATCCACCAGATGCTCTGCTGGAGAAGCAAGGGCAATCTTCTTCCGTACCAGTCAGATCTGATTTGATGGTATACACACAAAATAATAAAATTAAATTTAAAAAAAAAGAAGAAGGATATCTATCTGTCCTTTATTGACTATGCAAAGACATGTAACTGTGTGTATCATAACAAATTATAGTTAACATTGAGAAGGATGGGAATCCCAGAACACTTAGTTATGCTCCTGAGAAACCTATACCAAGACTAAGAGGCAACTGTGCAAACAGAACAAGGGAACACTGCATCGTTTAAAATCAAGAAAGGCATGATCAAAGCTGTATCCTTTCTCCATACTTGTTCAATTTGTTTGCTGAGGAAATCATTCAAGAAGTTGGACTTTATGAAGAACATAACACCAGGAATGTAGGAAGACTTATGAACAAACTACATTATGTAGGTAACACAATCTTGCTGCTGAAAATTAAGATGACTTAAAACACTTGCTGCAGAAGATCCTTGATCTTCAATATGGATTTGGATTACACCTCAACATGAAGAAAACAAAAATCCTCACCACTGGGCCACTAAGCAACATCATGGTAAGGGAAGAAAAGACTAACACTGTCAACAAATTAAACAAAATCCTTGCTAACAGCAGAAGACTTGTTGCTTTGAGAAAAATCTAATGTCAAGGACCTCTCAAAAGTGCTAAGGAGCAATGATAACAGTTTAAGAATTAAGATGCACTTGATTCAAACCACTGTCTTTTCAATTACTTGCTATGCATCTGAAAGTTGGACAACGAATAAGGAGGACAAAAGAAGAATTGATGTCTTTGAGTTGTCGATTAGAGGAAAGTACTACATATCCTATGAGCAGCCTAGAGAACAAATAAGAGTATGTCTTGGAAAAAGTGCTTATTGGAGGTAAGGATGGTGAAAAGCCTCATCTTACACATTTTGAACATGTTGTTAGTACGTGCCACTTCCTGGAAAAGGATATCATGTTTGGAAAGGTGGAGGGTCAGCACAAGAGAGGAAATCCTCCAACAGGTAGACTGACATAATGACCGTAACAATGGGCTCAAGTGCATCAGAGTTGACAGGGATGGAGCAGAATAGTGCAATATTCAGATCTGCTTGTTCATAGGGTCACTATGAGTCATACTTGACAGGACAGCACCTACGAACATCAACAACACTGATATTGTTGTTCAAAACCTCTGCATATAGAGACATTATCACCAATGTCAACTGGATGTTGGCATAAAGCAAAGAGTAATAGAGGAATGTCTATCTGTGTTTCATTGACTATGCAAAGGCATTTGATAGTGTAGATCACAATAAATTGTGGCTAACATTAAGGAGAATGGGAATCCCAGAACACTTGATTGTACTTATGTAAAACCTATACTCAAACCAGGAAGCAGTCCTCAGAACAGAGCAATGAAACACTGCATGGTTCAAAACTAGGAAAGGAGTGTGTCAGGAATGTAGCCTTTCTCCATAACTTTTCACTCTATTCAAAACAAATCATAAAGATCACTAGGAAAAACCTAGAATTAGTGTGTGCCATTTGGAATCTAGATTGTTGTTGCTGAGTACCGTAGATTCAAAACTGACCTATAGCTGAAATAGTTAATCAGACTTAAGGAGACTGCCCATCTTTTTCCCGTATTGAAGCTGGTGGCCTCAAACCACATGCCTTTAGGATTGCAGCCAGCTTCTTGTCACTAGGCCACCAGAGCTCCCTAGAATCTAGATTATAGGTTCTAAACACCATTTGTCAATTCAGAGAAGTACAATTCCTTAGAGCAGTGGTTATCAAAATACAGATCATGGAGCAGCAGTACCACAGAGCTAGGAAATACGTGTATTAATACATACTTACACATCTATATTTCTGTATCCAACTGTATGTGTGTGTAAAAGTTATGAATTCTGAGCTCTGTGCACTGAGAAGGCTTAAAGGCATTGATCTTCCAGTATTAATGAGCACACCTATCATTCAGATCTCCGTTTCTATATGGCATTCTCCAATAAGAGAAATCAAGGATCACCCTCCCCCTCCTCTTTCTCTTGGCCTTGGATCAGGTGGCAGCCAGGTTCTATCGCTCAGCTATGGCTAAAATCAAGGCTCAGGACCTTCGCGGCAAGAAGAAGGAGGAGCTGTTAAAACAGCTGGACGATCTGAAGGTGGAGCTTTCCCAGCTGCGTGTCGCCAAAGTGACAGGCGGTGCGGCTTCTAAGCTCTCCAAAATCCAAGTTGTCCGAAAATCCATGGCCCATGTTCTCACTGTTATTAACCAGACTCAGAAGGAGAACCTCAGAAAATACTATAAGGGCAAGAAGTACAAACCCCTGGATCTGCGGCCCAAGAAAATACATGCCATGCGCCGAAGGCTCAACAAGCATGAGGAGAACCTGAAGACCAAGAAGCAGCAGCGAAAAGAGCACCTGTACCCACTGTGGAAATATGCAGTCAAGGCCTGAACTTGTTAAATAAATAAAACACAAAACTAAAAAAAAAAAAAAAATGAAATCAAGGATCTTTGGAGAAATGGTCAACTCCAGAGCTTGGACAAGATGAGCCCAGCATATCTTATGATCCTAGAAAGTCAAGTGGTGCTCAAAAAAATGGTAGGGCATTTTGAAAGGTCACAATCAATTTGAAGGAGATTCTCCGTATCTATTTAAGCAGCATTTAAGAGGCTAGATTTTATGTAAAAAAAAAAAGTGACATCAGAATTGGAGGAGGCTAACCAACAGTCCGCAGTATACAGATGACATAACTTTGTTCACTAAATGTGAAAAGACCTGAAGTGCTTATTGCAGAAGGTCAAAGATTACAACCTTCAATATGGATTACATCACAACATTAAAAACAAAAACAAAACAAAAA